CAATCCCTTTTCCCCCCTCCTTTTATCGATATTACCCATACCACAGATAATGTAAAACTACATTAGTACCCGTACCTACTTCTCAACGGTCGAAGAATGCCGGGTGAGGGGGAAAAGGGATTATTAGTAATTAAGTTTGACAGCCCCATTGCTAACAATATGCTGTATTAAGTCGACCTCCACGTGGTTCCCCTTTTTTTTTAACGTCTGGAAAATGCTTTATGCAGACCCATACACCTTGTGGGAACGGGTACTGTGGGAATCCCCCCGTAAGGTGGGGGTGGGCCACGTGGTTCCCCCTGGAAACCATCGTGAACAATTCTTGTTAAATTCGTCACGATGGGCTAACTGACCTGTTTCATCTTCACCTATTTTTTTTTTGATGGGTGAAAATGGTATGGTGACCTCGTCTGCGTTAACGGGATACGCTGGCGGAGCACTAGTGAAGGGTGATCGATGAGAATGAAAACAGATAAAATACAGAATAAATAAAAAAATTATCAAAATGGGTTCTGTGATTTAGTTTTCAAACCAAAATAACTGATTGTGACATAATTAAAGTCGGTTTTTTGAGGAGTTAACGAATGAATGAGTATACTTTATTTGTGGAATCCAATCTTATTGTTTAGAAAACTGCATTAGTCTTTTTTTTTGGGTCTAAGAGTCACCATCGTCGACTACGACGATTATTTAAGAACTAAACTACTAAGTTTAGTTCTTAAATAATCTTCTATAAAAAAAGGACACCGTTCAACGGAGGTTGTCAAATATCTGATGTCTGATGTTGGGATTTTTTTTTATTTTTAAATTATGTAATCAAGAACTACCACGTTTCAAATGACAGTCTCTTAATGCTCGTTCACTTCGAACAGATACTAGGAAACCAGTTCATATTAATAATTTTCTAAGTCCAGATGTTAATTAATATTAATATATTTTAAAGAAAATGTCAGATAATACGATAAAATTAAATTAACTACGTTAGGCATTTTTTTTCTAAAACAAAAATATATTTTTTTATTTGAGAAAAAAAATGTATTTAAATTCATAATCATCATCATCATCTCAGCCATTATCATATAAAAGAACCAAAGTCACCTGCATAACCCGAAGGATAAGCAAGCTTACTTCAGCTTGCTTACTTGCCACTTAGCAATGGGCTGGTCACATAGCTCGCAAAAACGGTAACCATTGGGAAAGAAAGGAACTTGAGTAGCAAACCCCGTACGGAGGGGGAAAGGGATTGTTAGTAATGGAGACTAAGAATCCCATTGCTAGCAATATACCCAAAAAGGTCGAACTCCTCGCGGTTCCCCCTGGAAACTATCATGGTTAATTCCTAATGAATTCATCATGATGGGCTAATAGGCCTGTTTTTATTCTCATCTATGGTGCACCGCCAGCGTATCCCGCAGGGGGGGCTACCATCCCATTGTCACCTATAAAAAAAAACCCTGTACGGACAAACTCAGTATAAGACGACGTCCCTCACTAATAGAAGTGACGACCTCAAATATATTGCAGGGAGTCAGCGGATGCAAGTGGCTAAGGACCGTTCTTTATGGCAGTCTATGAGGGAGGCTTATGTCAGCCGTGGACGGATAATGGCTGAAATGATGATGATGATGATGATTAAAAAAACGAAATAAGCTTTCCTATTGCGGTATTAAATTAGCTATCGTTTGTGGAAAAGTACAAATTCTCGGTACGCCATAGACCTCATATATCTCGACTTGTTTTTTTTTTTTATATATTTTACAATACAATGAACATTACACGTAGCCGTGCAGTAGGTATTACGGTATTACAATGTACATACTAACCTTAGGTACTGACATAACAAAAATAAACCCGTATGTCATTACTTGTGTTCCAAGGTCGTGTGACAAAAAATTGTTATCAGAATAATCTGTCTATTTATAGTATGAATAGTATTTGAATTCTGATCGGCCGATTTAACCTCGAGTTGGAATACCAACTAATAAGTATATCTGGACATTGTTTTTTAATTGATGAAAAAAATAATAATGAGAAAATAACATTAATTAAAACAATAGAGAATGGAAGAGGCAAAATGCTGGGCCACTTTATACGACATGACGGTTTTTTAAAGAGCTTTTCTTTCTGTACTAGAAAGTATAGAAAGAAAATAGAGATTTTTGGGAAGGAAGGGTAAGATCGACAAATTACTACATTTTTTTTTTATAATACAAGAGGCAAACGAGCATGCCGCTCACCTGGTGGTAAGTGACTACCGCTGCCCATGATCACCCGCAACACCAGAGATATTAGTTGTGCTTATAGCTTATTAAAAAGGAAATAAGAAATAAGACGAAGAAATGATGGAAATGGAATGGTAACACCTTTGCTAATATCCTAGTGGGATGCTGAGTACCAATAAAGAACGACAAGTGAGGATAAAGTCAGGTTAAGAAAAGACAAAGAAGAATTAATCATGATGGTTTCCAAGGTAATCTGACTGAGTATACTCCTAGCAACAGGGCTGTTAACCTCATTACTAAAAACCCCTAATGGGAGAAAGGGATTGTCAATAATCGGATTTTACTTTTTAGCCATATACCACATCAAGTCGGTCTCCACACAGAAAACCCCTGGAAACTATCGTGGTTAATTATTTTTAAATCCATCACGTTGGACCAACTGACCTGCTTTTATCCTCACCTATCATCATGCCCCACCAGTATATACCGATAGCGCAGGCGGGGCCACTATTTCTTTTAAACCTTTTAAAAAGAAAAAAAAACAATCCGTAACTAAAAGAATATCTGATGTATATATCATACGATTAAATAAATAATCTAACAACCATTTGTACCCTACAAAAGGGAATTAGTCGATAGTAAATACTTTGCAAACTTTATAGTACTATGAAATTTGTCGTGTGGTAAACTAAAATCGTTTCGAAAATCGAAAGTTTTTTTTTTTTTGTTGGGTAAAAATGGTATGGTAGCCCCGCCTGCGCTAACGGGATACGCTGGCGGAGCACCAGTGAAGGGTGATAGATAAGAAGAAAAGCAGGCCAGTTAGCCCATCGTGATGAATTCATCAGGAATTGACCATGATAGTTTCCAGGGGGAACCGCGAGGAGGTCGACCTGGTGAAAATCGAAAGTAGTCAGTAGTAATAATCGAGTGAAAAAGGATCAAAATCTATTTAGAATAGTTGGTACTATTTGGAGATCTTCTTACAAAGAGGGGATTTAATAAATTCCATTATTCTATCCTTTATATCCACGCATTAGTATGTTATATTAGTATATATACCGCAGACTAATGCAGAGATGAAGTGTGTTTAACGACGCCTACATCAAAATATAGTATCGACAGTACACTTTTAAAGATATTACGTAAATTATACAAAAAAGAGCAAGCAAATTGTGAAACTGTTCGACTTTATTGATCCTTTTCGCTTAAAAACATCTTTGCTACACTAATTCTTGTAGTGATGTATTAGGTTGTAAATACAGTGTTAATTTACAATTCCCTCATGAGGAAATTAATTTCACTCTAATTTTAAAATGGTTTTTAATAATTTAATAAGGTTTATTATTATTAATAAAGTATAATATACGAGTACCATGTAAAATCCAGGCATCACGAATGGCAACCTGTAGGAATAAGTACCAGAGTGTGTGAATAATGTGTATAAATTATGTTTATATTTATAGGCGACAATCAACACTTATACAGGAAAATTATCAACTTGTTTGACATTTCAAGTCACAAAACAAAACCAAATTAAATCAATACTTATCGCCTGTAGCCTAAAAAGTGCCTATCCGTTTATTTCAATAAGAATGTTTTTAATAAACGCCTTCAAGTTATTGCACAGTTAGGTAGCACTCATCTGAGCTCATCATTGCCTATAATTTATTTCAGGTACATGTAAATATATTTTTTTAATGGGTGAAAATGGTATGGTAACCCCGTCTACGCTAACGGGATACGCTGGCGGAGCACCAGTGAAGGGTGATAGATGAGAACGAAAACAGACCAGTTAGCCCATCATGATGAATTCATAAGGAATTAACCATGATAGTTTCCAGGGGGGATCGCGAGGAGGTCGACCTGGTTAGGTATATTGCTGGCAATGGGATTCTCAGTCTCCATTACTAACAATCCCTTTCCCCCCGTAAAATGAATATTAGAAATACTGCAGTATCCAGGGCCAGATCAATCAAGTCAGAACATTTAGGCAATTCACGTGTCGCTTAGTAAAAAGCTACTAAAATAGTTTTACTTATAATAACTTTAAATTTGTTATGAAATATACTGAAATATGACTATCATCGTCATCTTCCTACCCTTATCTCTTCACTCAATTTGAAAAATCCCAAGTTGTTTTTCTCCGAAAATACAGAAGCACAACGAGTTTTCTTATTATTTTTCAATATTATAAACTTACGGTTATCATAAATCATTATGTTTTTGGCATGTTTAGTATCAATCCATCTTAAAATTCCAAAAAAAATAACGGAAGTACTTTTCTTTTGTATACTAATGAACTGTATTCCTACGCAGTACGTAATAACGTTGTTATGTTTGCTTCTAATTTATCTGGGCTGTAGTAAAAGAGTCATCATTATATCAGCCGTTAACTGTCCACTGCTGAACATAAGCCTCTCCCTATTGTGAGATTTTGCCAGTAGATGCCTCGCTTCGCAAATCAGTTGGCAACCGCAGATATATTTAAAATCATCATAGTCCTCAAGAATGGCGAAGCATGTGGTGTATTATGGGTGAATATTGTGATGTTTATCATAGACCCCTCATGATGATTTAGACAATAAAATTTTATTTTTAATCAGGTTTATTAGAAATAAAGAAAATTCAATGGATAAATTAATTTAATTGTATATGTAACATCGAAACATCGATCTCGATAATTATAGTTAAGTACATGATAATTTAAAAAGCAATTTAGCTATATATATATATATATATATATATATATATATATATATATATATATATATTGTAGATATATGCATAGAATCAAAAGCAAAATAATATAATTATGCCAAAGAATTTAGTATTTATGAAATACATATTTCATTGATAGAAAAAAGAAGTATCTAATAGTTAAACAAAATAATAGATTATATAATGAAATGACAATTTATTATAAATTTCAATATTTGCATAGACATTTATTTAAATATTAAAATTTATACATCGATGAATTTATGATTTACAATGACAAAAAAAATGAAAACGAACGATAGACATTGTGTGCGCAAAATATACGCTTAAGATGCAAGTGAATACAAAAGTTATTGCAAGGTCATCCCTTATTATAACTTTGAAGAACGTTTTACACCTAAAATTGGCATATATATTAAAATTTTTCATAATTTTCGAAGTATCAATTAATTAATGTACTATTTCTTGAAGGTAGTAAAATGAATTTACTAGATATTAAATAGTGGACATTAAATTTATAAATCTATGTGGCAGTGTTAGTAAGTACTATAAATAATGCCATTATCTTGTTAATGGCTTGTGTCATTCACAAGACCTAAATGTCACTTGTCAGATTAGAGTATTTAGTTATTATAAATTTTGTCCATTATATTTGAAAATATAGTATATTTTTTAACACATCAATTCATAATTATGATTACTGATTGTTATTCTTCAATTTTGAATAACCTAAGCCTAGTCAGAAAACTGGTATACTTTTAAAATATACCTATAGAAAATATTATACATAGATTCCAGATTGAGAATTGTTTTCTTAAAAAAAAATTAACCAGTCTTACTTTCTAAATTTCTCCATACTTATTCACTAATATTAATTTGCTAAAGGCAGTGACAAGTTGTAACGCCAAGTATAATTAAGCTCCAAAATTGTAATTTAATAATAAAAGTAATTTTAGCTATATTTTATATCTAATAAAATATAAAATAAAATTAAACAAATACGATTCCATCTAATATAATATAAAGTATGACTATACATTTCACATTACAAGTCGATTTATGATAAATAAATAAATAGAAGCAGTAAAACAAAGAAAGAAAGCGAATACACCAAGCACGTGCTAAATGGCACATGTAAACTTAAGGTTAGATAGAACTTAACTAATCGTGTTTTAATATCTAGAGATATTGGTATTTCTAATCGAAGGAAATTAACGCTGCTTTATTTTTCAGGTAAAGTGGCAGACGCAACTTATAACTAGACATCAAGAAAAAAGACAGACTTTAATATTTCAAATTTTGACGAAGACCACAATAAAGATCAATTTCTAATGAAGCTGTTCTTGCACAAGAAAAGAGAACAGAAAAAGTATATATTTTCTGAGATTTCTCATTAATACGAAAATATACATTTTTCTCATAAAAAAAGACAAGGTAGATTCAATTGTCTAGACAATGTACAAAATAATGTTTTAAATAATACAAACTAAATAGTACTAACATCACATTCTTTGCCTAAATCCTACAATTCAAGACAATCTATCGACAATATTCATTTCCTATGTAGTACAATAGAACAAAAACCCCATTTAGATTACATTTACTAAGTAAACAACATTTAAAAATGTTCAACTATATTCATCTAGGAACATTTTAAAAGGTCAAATCTTAAAAACAATTATTTTATAAAAGTACAAAAAGATTACACGAGAAGATTTTTGAAAAGCATTTGACTCCATAAACACATCAAATCTCGGCAGTGCCCCAAGGCATTGACTTTGTAATTATTTATATACATTACTTAGTAATTTACACATTAATATTTACATTTGAGCTCTCGCAACACAATGCGTACTATGACACTTTTGGAAAAGTTTGAAGTCCAATTATACTATACTAAATCAACCGGATCCACCCGAGCCGCCTGAGCCGCTGACATACGCATCGGTGGCCACTCGCTGTCCTGCTCGTATCACATTTTGAACAGTCTGTGCTGCACCCTGAAATAAATAAATAAATGAATATTCAATAACAACAAATGTTTCAAATTTAATTTCAGACAAGATTCTACAATTATTATTACACGCTCAGACAAAGTTTAATTCACAATTTATAGAGTTGCAAATAAAGTGGTGAACTACTAGGTCTCAAAGTTATTAACTTTTTTCGTAAACAGATATGATTTTTATAACCTAAATAGTTATAAAAATCATATCTGTATAACATAAAAAATACTAAAATTTAATATATCCTGGAATAATATATATTGCAAGTAAACAAATGTATAAATTATTATTAGCTCAAATACACAATAGCTTAGGTTAGAGTTTTTGAAGACATTAAGTGAGACACTTAGATAGTATTGTTAAGTGATTATGAAAAATTATCAGATAGATGGAAACAATTATGATGACGGCTGTGTTAGAATTGTATTATAGATAGTAAAATTTACCCATAATCAAACATTGCTTGCCAACAAAGTTCTTTAAAAATTAGAATACTTTATCCAAAGATTCCGTGCTTAAATTCTAGCTTAAATCACCAAAGCTTTGCGATCATTTTCCACATTTTAAACGGTATATAAAACTGAAACGACCTTGTTTTTTATTTTAAACAAACAAACGATGGTATCGTCCATGAAGACTAAGCCACATTAGGGTGCAAGAATTCTTCACGTAAAAGGAAAGTAGTGTAAAATGTTTGAAAGTTTTACATTCTCACAAATTTTATTTTTAATCTAAAATTTCTTATTTACATTCTGTTGTTTGACTATGAATTTGAAATCTGTATATCCAGTCATTAATTTAAATAAATAAATCTAATTGAGAGTAACTGTCATTCTCAGACTCTCTATTGTAACTCTCTGTTGTAACTTATTTTGTTTTACAACACAGGGGGGCAAGCAAGCATGCGGCTCACCTAATGGTAAGTGACTACCGCCGTCCATGATCACACCAACGGTATTGCAGGTGTGCTGCCGGCCTTTTAAAAAGGAATATGTTTTTTTCTTAAAAGTTATGTTGTCATACTTGACTTCAAGCCAGTGTCAACTTTTTGTATAGTATGGAGAAACATAAATATGTAATTTCTATTAAGTAATAAGTCCTAATATATCTATTATACCTGTATTGCTGCCCCTAAAAATTGCGAAAATGCCCGCGTTACATTTATGGCTGCAGACACGAGCTGCCCTCTGCCTGGAGTCTGTTCTGATGTTACGGCTCTTGGTGGATCCAGGGGTATCTAATTATAATATGCTTGGGTTAGATAAATTTGTTATTTAACGCTAAATAAAAATATGTAATATACAGCAATATTGAATAATAATAAATGTGAAATTTAAAATTTTTAAGATTTATGTTATTAACATTTTATAGTATTAGATAAAATAAAATTACATAAAAGAAAAATAAATGTATATACTGAAGTAAATATCAACAGTTACCTAATATATATATGCAATTTAATGAGCATATTTACAAAAGCATTGCAAATTATGAATTTAATAAGTGTTCATACTAAAGAAAGCGTTCTAATTATACAAGTATAGTATATAAATATTAATAATGTATTAAGCATATAAGCATTATTATTATTAATACAAGTATAATAAAGCCAAAATATTTTACACAATAAATACTCACCAAAATTTTAACTACATTATCACTTTTTATTTACAATTGAAATACTATAAACAATGATTAGACTGTTAATATTTACAAAAACCCATTTTACTATCCTTCAAGACTTACTATATTTGTAGAAGCATTTATTTTATTAAGATTTTGCCAACTCTAATTAAAAGTGCCAGGATGTAATTGTAGGATTAACAACCTTAGAGGCAAATTATGGCAAGGTAATGTTATTTTGGAGAAATTGGTTGTGAAAATTATAACAAGTTGCATCATCATACGTGACAAATTAGAAACGTATGCTTTAAAGCGTGCTAACTATAATACAATTTATTTAAACATAGATAACTAAGATTTAAAAAAAAGAAATGGAATCGAAAATAGTGCTCTCCTGAAGTAAACAAAGTTAATTCTCGCAAAGTAAATAATAAAGTAATTTACGTAATTTCGTAAAGTAAATAGTAGTACTTATTATACAACGAAGGAGATAAATATTTTCAATTCTTTTTTTTATTATACTATTTTATTAACTTATAAACATTAATTATTTATTATTAGCGTACGTCTGCTTAACATTAACAAAACGTACAAAAATCAACCCCCTTATTCATAAAAACATAAAAGTTCTAATTAAATTCGTTTAGCTATCTACTTATTACTTAAAATATTTTTTATTTTATTTTTTTTATTTTAACTACATTCCCAATTTGAAGAAATATAACAAAATACATTAATAATTAAAAATTTTATCGTTATACGCTTTTATGAATACTATTTACTATATTTTATATTCAATGACACCATGCCATTATGTACAAACTTTGAAAAATCTATAAGGTGCTGGACCCTTATGTCACAAATACCGATCTAGATATAGAAGAATATTAGATTTTATTCCGATTTAAAAAAACATACTAAATGAAGTCTTCTTCTCATTTTTAATTAAAATACTAATAAATAAGGGTCACACTTTTCAGATTTTTAAAATAACAGTTAAATTATACATATATACAATATTATTACTAAGATAATAAAAAATAAACAAGTACATCAAAATATTATTGCAAAATATTTCTATTTACGGCACAATGTCTATGTATAAGCCAATTTAAATCAACTTTAATCTAATTAACCATATCTAAATTTTGCTTTAAAAATAAAATATGAATACAAAAATTCTATCAATCTTTTACGAATATTATAGTTTCAATATTTCTATTTACAAACATCCCAAATCCACTCCCCCGTGTGAAATTTACACTCAAATCAGACTTAGATTAAATAGGAACCTCGTATAAGGGTATACTTAAATTATCACTCTAGACAAATAATAGCAATTCTGTTTTATTTAATCTAAGGTCTGGTTCCTTCACCTCAACCCCAGTCACACAATTTTAATAAAAGAGATGCAAAACCCACTCTGTTTGAGGTTGGCGTCTCGTCAGCATTGCCAACGAATGGTCCAGAGCCAAACCAGTTGACTCGGTTGCTAGTAGCTGCGGATGATGAGACTGTTGGTGAGGAGGACGGGCTTGGTCGTCTGTTGGGCCTTCCGGCCGTAGGACCTGGAGCGGTCTCCCTCCATTGCTGCCACAGCCATGCTAAACCGTCCAGAATCGGTCTTCGTTGTGGCGGAGGTGGTGGAGGTGTTGTAGTTCGTCGTGCTTTCGGCGTCACTACCACTTGATTGAGCAAAGCCTACGAGGTTATAGTTAGCTACAATTTTATTATTATAGACGGCAATATTGCATATTAATAACTAATTTTTATAATTGAAAATTAAAAAAGTAAAAGAGTATTTACAAAAATTAATAAAAAGCAGAATGTAAAAGTAAGTAACAATAGGCCTGTGAAGCAAGTTTAAGATTATTATATTACATTAATTTTGCAATTAAGACACAAAAATAACATGATGATAAAATGAGAAAATGCGAATGATAATTGTTCAAAAATAAGGAGTTTTAATAAATGATGTTATGGAATCTTTTTAGAATAGTATTAGATAAATGAAATAGTAAAAATAGAACTAACAGAAAGTCTAAGTTGTTCATCTAAGGAACTTGCCGTAGTAGGCCCAAAACCTTGCTCCTTTAGTAGTGCCGCCAGTAATGCATCGTTACTCTTTCCGAATTCGGTACTCAGGGACATAGGTGCTTGTGTTGCTTCTGACACCATGCCTGTTGACTTACTCTGTTGCTGAAGCAATTTCTTCAAAGCTTCATCAGATGTCTGTCCTGAGATTAAAAGTAAATAAAAAATTATTTTAAATACTAAAAACTAATTTGAATAACAAAATGTAAAAATGTTAAATGATGAAAATCTTGTTTAATCTTCATGCCATACCTCTCATGTCATGAAGAAACTGAATCCAATAAATAGCCTTAATTAGTATTGTATTACACTAAATGCAAAATTAATATATTGAATTTACCTGTAATAGTTAATTTATTCTTCTGCGTAGTCGTCTCCTGTACATCCTGTAATTTCACCAGAGTTTTTAATAACTTTTCCTCATCTTGGATAGTTTTTAGATCATCTTTAACAACTATTTTTGCACCAAAAGGTTTAGTCGAGTCAATGTTCGTTAGTTTTGTCTGTTCATTAATATTTTTTATAGAGTCTAATGGTTTATTTAACAGCAAAGATGAGGTTGATTTTGCTGGTACTTTCAGACCAATATTTGAAGTAAGGTTTGGACTTACATTAGTAGTTAAATTAGGTAGTGTTGGAATATTAAATTTGGAAGGGTCTTGGCCTGTCGCCTTAATAAGAGCTTGAAGAAGTTTTGTATCTTCTTGGAACTGTTTAATATCGTCCTCTATAGATGGAATATTTGTTTTAACTGTTGTTATAGGTCGCTGTGTTGTTGTTGTTGTTGTTGTTGTTGTGGTAGTTGTTGGGGCAGTGCGTGATGTTGAAATAATATTGTTTACGTTATTTCCTATATTTTTTCCTTTTCGAGTAGTATCTGGTGATGTACCAGATTCTATTTCATTTAAACTTTTCTCAACAGCTAAAGCTATAATTCGATTAGCCAATGACACTTCGGGATCATCGTTGTTCGGATTTGTCTTTAATACTGATTTCTGAAAATTTAAAATAAAAACAAATATTACTACTTCTGGGTGACATGTAAATAATAGTTAACATAATAGTAATTATATGAAAACTTACAATGTGCAATCCTAATATCAAAAGCTGATAATTTTTTTACTATCACATAAAAGGACCATAAAAGATCTAGGATGAACAACTTTCAAAAGTAAAATGAAACATGTCTTTGGTGTCCAAAAAATACATGCTATTTTTTATACTCTTTGGAAACTACATTATTTAAAAACGACATTTACAAAATAAACGTACCAAATTTTTTAGGAAAGCCAAATCCTCTTCAACGGAGAATGTAGAAGTACTAGGCATATCTGTAGTAACTGATACTCGTGTGACTGGTGCGCGACGTGCTGTTAATGTCGTCGGTTGAGCACTTTTCAAAGTCGTGGTTCTTGGAGAATTCGTAGTAGAAATTTTGATATTTTCCGTTACGGTACTGGTGGCGGGCTGTAACGTAGTCGAAACAGTTCTAGGCACAAAACTAACTCCAGAAGATGTCGATGTAGTAATTTGAGAAGTATACACAGGTCGCACATTTAAAGGTGTAGTGGGATTAGAGCCTAGTGAAGTAGTTAAAGGGTTTGAGGCAATTCTTACATTTGACGTTACTCCTGATATAATAGGTGGACTTGCGTTTCCTGTATTTTGTCCTACTGCTTGTAATAATGCTTGTAATAATTTTGTATCTTCTTGCAATTTTTTAATATCTTCATCTATCGATGTTGTAGCTGTTAGAGTAGTTGTTGGTCTTGTTGTGGTTATTATTGTCGGTCTAGGAGTAGTGGTTGTAGTAGTCGTTGTTGTTGAAGTTGTTGTAGGAGCAACTTTAGTTGTAGGTTGAAAATCAAATTTTGGTAAATTGAAATTATTCGGATTTTGCCCTGTAGCCTGCAATAACGCCTTCAATAATTTTGTATCTTCTTCAAGTTGTCGTAAATCGTCTTCTATTGAACGAAATGTAGTAGTCTTCAGAGGAATATTTAAGTTATCACCAGTGTTTGTTATTAATTGATTCGTATTTGTACTAGTAGTTGAAAGCAATGCTTGAAGAAGCTTTGTTTCTTCGTTTTGCGTTGCTGTTAAAGGTTGTAATGTGCTAGTTGGTGCTTGAGTTGTAACTATCGGATTAGGTGATAATATTGGATTTGGATTTGACTGTATATTTAGGTTTTTAGAGTTACGATTGGACTGTAGTATTTGCTGAAGTACTTCAGCATCTTTTTGATATCTTTTCTCTTCTTCAATAGTAACAGGTGTAAAGGATGTAGTTACTGTGGGCAAAGTAGTTGTTGATGCTGATGCTGTATCAGTCGTTATTGTAGCAACAGATGTTGTAGTAATTGGAATTTGCGATTTCTCTGTCTGAGCAAAATTTGTTATTGTTGGCAGTAAAAGTTGTGTTGTTGCAGCTGCAGTAGTTGTTGTTGGAGCTCCAGAAGTCGTTGTTGGAGCTGTAGTTGTTGTTGTCGGAGCAGCAGTAGTTGTTGATGCCAACGTAGTAGTTATTGGCATTAACGTACTTGTTGCTGTAGGAATTGTCGTTCTTATAGTAGCTACCATTGTGGGCGGTGGAATTGTTTCAGTTATTGTAGTCGCAATAGAAGAAGTGGGCGTTAATGATTGTTCACTGTTTGTAACAGAAGTAGCTTCGGATACTGTTGTAGTTATCAAAGTATCAGTTTCAATTCGTGTTTGTATTTGCGGCGTTTGTGTATTTATCTCAGTTACTGTAGATGCAATCGTGCTTGTGATTTCATTGTTTCTTGTATTTGTAGTAGAAGATGCTTTTGTGGCTAATTTTAAAACATTTGAATTTTGTGGAGCTACTGTGACTTCATCTATGGGGATGAATTTAAATATTGTATTTCCATTTCCGTCACCAGGCTTTTCGGTCCGTATTTGTTTAGTCTGTAATTATACATGAAGAGTATTATTTTTTTATCATGACATAGTAATTGCTACAAAATGCTATTACTCAATGATTGTGTGATCAGCATTACTTGAATCTTATTTGTATTAAACCATCACCACTTACCTTTACCAAAACTTAAAATTTATTTTCTATTTAAAACAGCAAGTCCAGGTATTATTTACTCCCTTATATCTATAGTTTGTTGAGAAAAAAAAATCTACGTAAACATGCCGCTATTACCAATTACTACATAACCAAATAAGTGCCGACGTAAATAATAATTATACCTCCGGATCAATATCCAGTGTTAATATTCTCGGTTCACGAGTAGAGCTCGTCATTGAAGATATGACCGATTCCTCTTTAGCAGCTGAAGATATACTATTAAGCAGAATCTCATCAACGGAAGGTAGCATTGTAGTTGTGCGTAAACTCAATACATGCGAGGCAGTGCTTATTTCAGCAGGCAGCTTATTTGTGGTAGTAGTTATACCCAATGAACTGCTATCTTTTATATTAAGTGCCGATGAAGAGATCTGCAATTATGAAATAAAATGTTATGCTTTGCAATGTTAATATTAATAAGCGTTGAGGTGCATTAGGCATACATAGCTCATGATAGAATCGAAGGCTACCTCCAAACCGCATGCGCCATCGATGCTCCAAAACCGGGCGCCCAGTGAAAGGAAAGCAGAAAGCTCAGATTCAAGCTAAACAACTTAAAGTCAATACCATCAGTTGTTGGTTATTTACAGTGTCGGTGGTTAAACGATTATCCGTTCCGTTATTTGAGGTATTTGTGGATGTCACAGTATTAGTGGATACTCGGATGGGGTTAGACTTCGGCCTTACAATAGCCGGGTTGTTATGGATGGGGCTGTATGGATTTCTTAGACTCCATGGGCTGATTGGTAGTACGTCAATTTTTTGCATGACTCGTGGCACTCTAGTTCCATTTGGAAATTTACGTATTACTGTGTTATTAGGTAGCACGCCATAAATGATGTAAGGGCTTGCCTCTGTTAATGATTCCAATATATCATCATTAGGATCTTTACGTACCACTGTATCATTTGGTAATATTCCAAATATTACGTAATCTTTTTTAGGTATTGTTGTACCAACAATAGTTTCATTATTTACTGCTGAAATTAAATTTTGTCTTGTTTCGTTGACACGTGTTTTTGCGTTTTCATTATTAACTGGGTTACTTGTCTCCAAATCTATTGTTACTGTACTATCTACACTCATTTCAGTTGTAGTTTCAGTTGAACCCAAGTCTGTTGTAGTTTCTGTATCATCTTGTATACTTGTTTCTAAAGTTGTAACTAGTTCCGTAGTTGTCAAAACAGTGACACTTTCAGACATTTGATCTGATGTTTGTGACACTATACTTGACGTAATTGTCGACAGTATTTCAACAGGTATTGTTGTGGATGTAACCTGGCTATCCTGATTATTTCTATCTGTAGACTCACCCATACGTAAAGAAATTGAAATAGGATTTATAGTAGAAGGAAAATTTTTAGGAGAAGTTAAGTCATTATTATCAGTAAAGTCTGTAGATTCAGTCGTAGAAGTTAATGTATTCATAATTTTCGTCAAACGATTAGAAAGAGGAATATTGTCAGATTCTACCACATCAGAATCTATTATAGGTGGTGCTGTAGCTATTTCATCATTATGTTGTCTTATAAGATCTTCAATCATTTTTAATACTTGCGCTTTTTTAGACAATACCCATAACTGTAGTGGTGTTACACGGCTTGGGTCTTGATTATCGGTATTTTGAGATAATGGAGTTGGAATACTCATGTTAATTTGTGCAGATGGATCGGAAGTTTTTTCTAATACACGAAAATTTGTAAAAAATGGAGTAGGAATAGGTCTGTTAGAAGAGTCAGATATATTACCATTTACGATTACTGTGTCTGTGCCTAGAGAGTCAGAAGTTGTAATAATCATATTCATTGGTGTAGTACTCTGTATATCAACAGATGCTGAATTCGATGTTACATCGATTGTATTAATTGATTGACTACTAGACATAGGCAAAGTACTCGCAGTTATTGAGATATTGTCGGTGCTATTTACAGATTGAGTGACATTATCTGTTACATTTAATGTTGCAGTTACAGTGCTTGTCATTACATTATTTACATTAATTACATCAGCCATATTTTGAAGGACATTAGAGTTACTGTTTAATTCAATATTCTCAGTATCTTTAATCTCCTCCAAACTATAGGGAGTGGTGTTCGGTATGGTATCTACATTTTCTATCATAGTCGTAAGTTTGTCCAAAGCTCTAGGAATTAGTGATTTCAATAATTTTGCCATATCTAACGATACTTTAGCTCTACTAGTCTCATCCATATTTTGAATAATATCTAGTATATTATTAGATAACATGCTAGTTAGTTCTGAGGATACAATATTGTTACTAGATATTAATAGATCAGACACTGTATTAAATACCATTGATGGGTTGTCAGTCGATCCCTGAATTGATGTGGGTTCATATGCTGTCGTGGATTTGTCTGTTGATTGTTCTGTTTCTGAATATAAAACTTTAATAGCAAAAGGTCGTCTAGCAGAAAGAGGAGTTGTAGGAATAGGTGTAGGAGTAAAGGCAGTATTAGGTTGTGCTGTATTCACAGGACTTATGTTTCTTTCTTCTATGTTTAGTGATGGTGTAGTATTTTCCCCAACCGACAAACTATTATTCACATTTGGTGTTGAGTCAGCATTCTGTACAGGTTTAGCATTTGTGTTCATATTAACTGTTGTTGACATTAACATATCTTGACTGGCTAAGGCTCGAACACTATTTACATTATTATTATTACTCACGCCGTTGAGTGTTTGTGATACATCATTATTTATGTTTGCTTTTTTCGATACTTCTGTTGTTGTGGACAATCGAGTTCTAGGTGTAGAGGTAAGTATTTCAGCTAATGCATCAAATATTGATACAGTAACTGAAGGCGAATGGTGTGAAGCTTCTATGTTCATGATATGTGACGGCTTAACGAGACTTTCAGAAAGTCTCAAATCCGCTGAATATAATTTACTTCGTGGTTTAGTGAAAGAGATAGAGTTCATGTCTGGGCCTAACTCAATTTCTTCACCTTCTACCTGAAATAAGAAGTATACTCGCCCATATAAATAGAAAAAAGACGGTGCACTAATGAGAATGAAAATTTTTGTGACAATGTTATATAAAAATGAAAGGAACCTAAAAAAGAAATGCAAATAGGAAGTCGTGCAAAGACCAAAGCCACTTTATAATGCTTGGAATTAAAATTAAAAAAGAAATTATAACAGATATTAAAAGTTAGAAGAATGAATATAAAACAAATAGGGTGAACTTATCTGCATATTAAAACAAATATATAAAATTATACAATTTAATGTTTTGTTTACGCATGTTAGTACTACAGTATAATACATAATTATACTTAAATATTTAAATATAAAGTTCATGCGTTATTATTTACAATTCATTATTTAGTAAGTTCTTATCTGTTTCGGATTCGGATATATTTTATCAAAGTAATTATTCAACGCAAAAACTTTTTTAAGGAACTACCTATTAAATATTTTTTCACAGAAATCCGTTATTAATACAGAATGTCTAAAAAATCTTAAAATCTAAAATTTACAAGTAAATGAGTGAATGAAAGTATCAAGAGAATGAAAAAAGTGAACGAGTTATATTTGTCTGTGAAATGATAATGTTAAAACTATTCATATATGAGTCCATTAACCAATTCTAAAGGTGATTCGTGAATGATTGATGGCGCAGTGATATTCTGGCTTGATATCGACTCTGTGGTTACGTCAGAAAAGTCCGCCCCCTCGAACCAATATGGCTCTTCAATAGATTTTGTCAACACGTGGTCTGTGATGAAGAACTTCAGCCAAGCCTTCGGTAACAAGAAACTTTTAATTATTATTGATTGTATAGATTTTGATTATGAAAGGTTAATTATGTTTGGTTATAATACTAATTATGCAGGTAATGAGTGAATTTCGATATGATTGATTTTATATGATGTATTATGATTATTATATTGATTATGAACTAAATCTAGTTTTAAATCCTATTCCAAAGATATGATATATAACATATGATCCTTCTGTAGTTTAATGATCTTTTAAACCAAAATATTATTAATGAACATATTTTAATTTTTATTTTAGGCAATATTAAAGAAAAAATATGATACAATAGGCAATATTAAATAAAATATATGTAAATTAATGATACAAAAATTTATATTAGATAAATATTATTTTAGACTAACTGTTTACTATATATATGTATATCATATTCTTACTTTAAAATCATAAGCAGCAAAACGAAAATAAATGTTTATGTAGTAAATCTTAATGCCAATCTTATAAAGGGGCTTTGTTGAATTTGGAATAATTTAATTGTCACTTTGGATTATAAATAGGTGGTTACTTACAGTTGATGGTGTGATGGTGGGTACAGTGGGTTTATAAAATGGTTTATCTAAATAAGAAGCTCGATATTTTGAGCTAAATTTACTTTTATGTTTATCTGGCTCAGGTATTATCTGTAAATGATTATTAATGACATTTCTTGCATATGAAATAAAATGAGGAGTGAAATGGGAAAATATGTACGAATATAATACAAATTTCATTATACTTACGCCATTGGAAGCCTCTGTCGTTTTAGAAAATATATCGCTATATTTTCTGGAATTCCTTTCTCGGCTCCTAAATGTCACTGCTTTACTTTCAATGTCTTTTTCATACGAATTAACATTTTTACGATTATGTTTTCGTGTTTGAATATTTGTTACAACAGTAGATGTTAATGTACTTTGAGTAGTCGGTGAGTCAATGTTTTCGTAATTCTTTATAGCATCTTCTTCCTTATAAATAGAATGATATTTTACCGTTGGTAAATCGTTAACAACTGGTTTATTTTCACTCTCTTCTGCTGTATTTGGTATGTCATTAGCGATTTTATCTTCTTGATATTCTTTGCTACTTACTGCTATTATAAACATATCTTTATCAATTTTTTGATCTTTTTCAGTAGTCACTTCAACATTGTCAGTATTTTTTAATAATGTATAAATTAAAGGCATACTTAAAATATCTTCACTTTTCTTTTCAATGGAACTTATTTCGTTTGTAATTTCTTTCGGAGGTATAGTCGTTGATGTTATTGATTTTTTATTGTTCCTTAATCGTGAATAATAAGAAGTTCTAGGTAAAGTATTTTTATTATTTACTGTAAGACTATCACCTGTTTTGTTATCAACTTTTTGTGTTTCAGTTTTATTTTTATTATCAATTACACTCTTTGTGTTAAAACTTTTACGAGTAAAATAAGATGACCTAATCGGAGATCTCTTTAAATTATTTATTGCACTTTTATCATTTTTTAACTTATTTTCGATTTCCGGGGATTTTGTCGTAGTAGTTTTCAACGTTCTACTATATTTGAATGCCGGTTTTGCCGTACTTTGACTTAACGAAGACGTCGTAGATGTTGCTGGTGGACTAAAAGATGTTAATTTTCTACCTCGAGGATTAAAAGTCCCTCGAGGTCGGAAATCATTCTTTTTTTGCTGTGTGGCTTCTGTTGTTACTGCAGATATGTTATCATCATCCTTATCTTCTTTCTTAAATCCATCCTGTGTATTTAATTTATTGCGAAACTGTGAAAATATTTATAAGACTTTATTAGGTAAACCTATTTATTTATATAGTTAAATAATTCTAAATGCACTATATTTTTATTTAAAAAAAAATTGTTACTTTTATTAAATATATTGTTCAGTAAAGTATTAAAGTTTTAAACTATTTAATAAAATCTCTCAAACAAATATTAAATGCTAGATGATTAAATTTGTAGATTAAATGATTTTTTGTAATGTATAAACCTCATTATATCTCGTAATTTTGTAGTGTAGTATGTGTTTATAGCATTACCCTTGAATATTTATTGGTGCCAGTTCCAGAGTTTGTTTGTTGTGGTGATGTTGTGTAAGCTTTGTAAATTTTTTGTGATGCTTTCAATGTCAAACTCTCATCATTAGGAGAGCTCGCTTGTGTCTGAAAATTAAGGTTTTGGTGGATTTTTAGTATATTACGTTATTTTTAGTAACTTATGAATATTAGGAAATTAGAGATTTTAATATCTAGGCCCTACCTGTTTTGTAAATGATTGATTTAGACTTCATCCTACTATAATATTATAATTGTAAGAAATAGAAGTCATTGAAGAAGTCTTTTGCCCAGCAATATTACACTGCAGACTACAATAGTGTTAATAATGATGATTTGTCTATCTTGCTTATTAATTAATGAATAATAACTATTCAAATGGCTAAACTAATTTGAACGTAATTTAATATTTAGAATTTGTTCTAAATTATCATATAAAGTACTTTCTATTGTAATTGAAATTATTAACAAAACTATACCGCATAATCGTCAACTTTGGAATTAATAATGCAAAGAATATATTATAAAACAATAGGCAATAATCAATGTATAAACTTTCTATTTGCATAGTACTACTCACCGATGCATTTTTAGCCTGGATTAAAGCTTTAAAACTTTCCGGATAATTGTCGTCTTCACTAATTTCATCTGTCGTATCTTTTTTTGATAACGACGCAACTGGCCTAAAATTTACTTTCCCTCTTGACAAAGGGCGTCTCACCACCTTCATAACTTTAGATGTACTAGTTTTTACTGGTGGTATTTCAGTACTTGATTGGATAATTGTGCTTTCTGTGCTTGTGATTACAACTGATGCAGCTGTTTGATTTTCTTGTTGACTAGTAATATTTTCATCTTTCTGACTAGACTTAATGACTTCATTAATTGTTTTAATTCCTTCGCCTGTTAAGTTCGTATCAGTTTCTGACAATCGTGTTTTGTATCTCAATTTTCGTGAGTTTCTCAAATCTGCAGATGTTCTGGCTGTAGTTGGAGCTTTGTTAAAATTGGACAAAGAATTTGTTGTCCCCGATACGTCGAGATCTAATGACCTCGCATTTGGTCTGGTGTTAATTCGTCCCTTTATTCTTTTTGGAGCGACCGTTTCAATAGTCTCTAGAGAAGAACTTCTTCTTCTAAATTGATTAACTGTACTTTCCCTAGGTGATGTCTTTATGAAGTCATCAGAGTTAGAATTTAGCATCTCAATTTTGCTCTCAGTTGAAGAAGGTATATCTGGTGATAACGATGCTCTTTCTAAAGGGGTCAACGTTGTTGTAGTCGGTACTCGGTTAGAACTTGATCGTGTTCTGCTTCTTATAATATCATTCCTTCTTGTAGTGGATGATGATATATTAATATCATTTTGATTCTGAACAGGCCTATTTCGGGTTCGACCATTAGTTCTTCTCGACTCATATCGTTCGTTGCGTTCAGTTTGTAATTGAAAAGTTTCGACTTCTGGAGAAGATTCTGTCCTTGAAATAGGTCTCCTTGATTGAGATCTCGTTCGCACCTCTCGGGGTGGCACTTCATCTCGTTTTCTAGTACTCCTGGGCCTAATCGTATATTGTACGACTTTAGTTGGATCCGCCTCCGTTATATTCTGAATATCGGATGCTGTAGGCGCTGGTAATCTTCTTCCAATTCTTGATGCACCTTCCACCTGAAATAAGTGTGAAATATAAATTTAACAGAGTAATAGTTACTTATTTAACATATATATATATATATATATATATATATATATATATATATATATATATATATATATATATATATATATATATATATATATATATATATATATATATATATATATATATATATGTGTATATATATATATATATATATATATATGTGTGTATATATATACATATATAAATTTATATATATAATGCGTAATAATCTGAATTTTTATTGCATTTAGTTTTTTTTGTATCACATGTCTAATAATACAAATCTAAATATTAATAAAGGTATTTGAATATTCGTTACTTAATCACGTTTAAACCGATTTAAGCGAAATGTCCGAATCACTCCGAGTGAATTCGACTAGCAGGTTACATGTGAACATAACAGATATAACAAATACTAAATCCCACATAGAATGGAGTCAATACATTTCTTTAAGGAAATACAAATTACATAAATAATGCGCACAGACACAAAGAAAATGCAGTGGCTAACGATGGACGGAGGCAGAACAATGCTCGGAACAAAGTAGAGTCGGTCACCGGAACGAAACATTATTTGGTTACCCAATATGATATAATACTTGATCACTTGATCATTGCTTAGATATACTGTTACGTTGCTATATATATATAGACCTATATATATATATATATATATATATATATATATATATATATATATATATATATATATATATATATATATATATATATATATATATATATATATATATATATATATATATATATATATATATATATATATATATAATGTAGTGTATAATTCCATGATGATTGAAAGACAATATTGACTGCTTCTATTGAAATGAAATCAACAACGCATTAGAGGTTACATTGTTGGTTACAGTAAATAGTTCTTACAAAGCAGTACAAAACTCGACTACCAGTAAAATTTAAGCCCTTTGTATGTTTGAGATAATTGTATTGACTATCTTAACTTGTAGATCGAATCAAGCAGATAAGTAGTACTTATTTAAGTAAGCCATACAAAACTCAACTGCAGTAATGTTTTATTGTCTCATTTATTTTAGAAATAAGTGCCTACTATCACAAATAAGGTACTTATTTATTTAAACTTTAAAGTACAGTTTAAATTTAGGTATGTACACTTAGCAGACTTTGGTGCGTTCATGAATTGAAAAAACGTAAACTAGTACTTAAAATATTCATTTATTATAAATATATAATTAGACTATAATAAATGTTTAATATAAATAAATAAATATAATAAATTAGTAAAGAAAATAAGATATTCCGTAATTATTACACACGTGTGTAATCTAATTAAGGGCATACAGACTTTAGTATATTGAGTGTATGAGAATAATACCTCTTACTTTGAAAATCAAATATTAAATACTAGATAATTAAAACAATTGTCGGGCTAATGATTAGACCACCACACATATAATAACAGGACACGAGAGAAATTAAAAATAGAACGACTCTACACACATCTGTAAAAAAAATGTTAAAGATAATTTTATTTCTAATATGGTGCTATTAAAGGTACTGGAGTACGATTGTCTTAAAACAAATCATTTAATAAATTTAAAGTCGAGAAATTAAAATTAAGATACAATTTCTTAAGTAATACTACTAATTATAAATAGTCTCCCAACGCACCACACCGACCAGCGGGAGACTTTGTATAAAAGTCGTTTGCTTAGGTACCTCTGTCCCATTCGTGTTTCTAGTATCATGGACGAAACAGTATACTCTGTTATGTCCATGGTACTGCTCATGTCTATAGGCGACGGTTACCACTTGCCATCAGGTGGGCCGTCAGCTTGTTTGCTATTCTAAGTTGTATAAAAAAAAACTTGATCATTAGTAGGATTACAATTGATCGACTTTTTAATATAAACCATGCAATCATTCAGATTATAAATAAATGAGATGAGCATGACAACATAACGAGAATACGATTTTCAAGCATTAAATCTATTGAAAATGTCACCAGAGGGAGACTTTGTACAAAAGTCGTTTGCTTGGGTACCTCTGTCTCATTCGTGTTTCTACCGTAAAACAGTTGTGTTTGCATGGCTGTGTTTGAGTTTGAAGGGTGGAATATGGCGTGAATTTACAGGATACAGAGGAATAACACCTGAGTCCTCAGAACAGGCGAAACAGTATACTCTGTTATGTGCATGATACTGCTCATGTCTATAGGCGACGTTTACCACTTTCCATCAGGTAAGCCGTCAGCTTGTTTGCCATTCTAAGTTGTATAAAAAAAAAACTCAGCCTATTCATTATTAAAACATTTTTAAATAATATCAAGCAAAATGCTAAGGGTATTTAGCTTTCAGATACAATTCAAGGCTAAAGCTGCGTTCACAGGGTAAGTTTACAAACTAGGTCGCCGCTTACTTTCTGATATGTCACACATGTCCACTAAGCCGTGTGTACACCTGCGTAATAAACGAGTCTAGAGCATTATATACATTACGTACCAACTATTTTATGCTAAAATACAAATTCTTTATCTTAGTTCAACAATGGAAACTATTTTATTGCTTTTGTCTAGATTTTAAGCAATTTTAGGCATTATTGTAATAATTTTTGTCCTATTATTATTCAATTTGAACTCAAAATACTAGTAAGTGCTAATAATCAACACCATCTTGGGGGAAAATAATTAGTATAAAAATAGTAATGAAGACTGAAAATCCCGTTGCAATCAATATGGGCATATTATAACCAGGTCGACCTCCTCGCGGTTCCCCCTGAAAACTATCATAGTTAATTCCTGATGAATTCGTCATGATGGGTTAACTGGCCTGTTTTCATTCTCATCTATCACCCTTCACTGGTGCTCCGCCAGCGTATCCCGTTAGCGCAGGCGGGGTCACCATACCATTTTCACCCATCAAAAAATCAACACTATCAATAAAAAAGCATCATTTTCTATGTAAGTTTCATAACAATCTTAATATTTTTAAAATAATGTATTACCATGTTTTTCACCGATAATCTGACCTTCATCATCTTCATATCAGCCTTTAAATGTCCAATGCTGAACATAAGCCTGCCTCTTGGAGTATTTTGCCAATAGTCCCTAAGCTTGGCAGACGATTTGTCACCGCAGTCAGGATTTAAAGATGTTTTAAGAGGGACGCTGCTGCCCATCTCTCTCCCTTCCTTAGTTGCCTCTTATGACACCCACGGGAAAGGAAGGAATGACCTATACTATACCAGGACATTCTCTTTCCACACGAACCTTTCCATAGGTGGAAGATTTTTTAAAATTGGTTGAATAGTTTTTGAGTTTATCCATTATAAAAATACAAAATATCAAATCTTTCCTCTTTACAACTCTAGTATAGATGATTTACGTATATGTATAATAAGCTTTATATAAATGTTGTAGTCCAGTGAAGTAACAAATGTGACACAGAGCAGATATTGCAAGGTGTTAGATACCCAGGTAATAGGTACGATTAAATAAACATATATAACTCTGGTTACCAACATGTTTAGTAATACTAAATCCGTGTATGAATCAATAAGAACAGTAACATGTTTTATTGTCCGTTATAACAAGGACAATGTGTGGTTCATTATATATATCAGCTATTTTGCTTGCATGTCCATGTTTCGGTTTGAAAGGTGAGATATGGCAGTAAAATTATTATAGGATACGGAGGTATAACACCTACGTTTTAAGGGATGGCAAGAAATAGAAATACAATGGGAAACACAGTCCAATGTACAGTCCATGTACTGTCGTAGCATATATATATATATATATATATATATATATATATATATATATATATATATATATATATATATATATATATAACATAAAAATTTTTCATGTCATATCCATTTATATATTTATGTATACTTTTGCACACATTAAAACATGTCTACAGGTCGGACTTAATGCCTGATGATATTCTCTACCAGTCAGACATATATGTCATATCATATCACATCAGCCGTTAACCGTCCATTGCTGAACATGACCTCTCCCTTGGAGAGGTTTTTGCCAGTAGTTGCCACGCTTGGGAGGCGAGTTGACAAATGCAGTTAAGCTTTGGTGATGTCCTAAGAGGATGTTAAATTTTTTTGTATTACCATAGGGAAATGAAACCCCCCAATAAGGGACAGTCCATGTTCGACAGTGGACAGTTAACGATTGATAAGATAAAACGATAATGATAAGAAGAATTTGTACTAAAATCCTCTGCATGTATAACTCTGTCCCCCTTGTGTTTACGATCAAATGACTATCCCTTCAAGATTCAGATTCTTTATTTTCATTAAAAACATATTTCACCAAAATATTGGTATGCAAAATTTTTTAAAATACTATAACCAGAGGGAGACTTTGTACAAAAGTCGATTGCTTGGGTACCTCTGTTCCATTCATGTTTCTACCGTGAAGCAGTTGTGTTTGCTTGGCTGTGTTTCGGTTTGAACGGTGGGATATGGCGTGAATTTACAGGGTACAGGGGAATAACACCTGAGTCCTGCTCATGTATAGTGGTAAGCGTCGCCTATAGAGGCGACGCTTACCACTTTCCATCAGGTGGGCCGTCAGCTTGTTTGCCATTCTAAGTTGTATAAAAAAAATTGTAATTTTGTACACAATATAGATATGTCAAAAATAAATAATTATTATTTGAGTAAATTAAATTTCCATTCTTAATATTATTATTTAGGTCTTTTTTTAAGGCATGGCTTAAGTATGTTTCAATTTGAAAAATAGCATATAGTAATGAAATTACTTAAAAATTCATGATCACCAATATTAGTAGGGATGTCACAATATGTCTGTATTTCCTATCTTAAGAATAATCAAGATACAAAAATGTATGCGTTGTATAAAATAAACGCCTTTGGCTAGTTCCCAGACACGTTTGTGCTGTCACCAGTCGGCATTTACCTGTTATTTCCCGGCTTTTCTCGTAAACCAGTTAAGATTAATAATAGACTC